GACCACCCAATTTGGGGGCTGTTCTACTTCTGCCTTCAACGAAGTCTCCCATCGAGTCCGGTCCAGTGGCGACGATAGCTTGGGGCGATGGGCTTGGATCCGACTTCATGGCCGAACACGAGGCGTTTGCCAGCGCGACTTGGTGGTCCTCTCTGCCTACCGACCAAACCCACCCAACGACGGGCATCAAACCGTGTGGTTCCAACACAAGGCCCATTTCAGCCGCACCCACCGCGACGCTGACCCCAGGGAAGCTTTCATCAAGGACCTCTCGATGGCTATCAACAAATGGCGCGACGACGGCTGTTCTATCATCTTGGGTATCGATGCCAATGATGACTTATCCTCCTACTCCCCGACGTCTTTCCGTTTTCGGATGAGCGAAGTAGGACTGATTGAGGCGATCCAGTCTAAGCACCCAGGGTCCCATCAGGCCACTTACCAGCGAAACCTCCGTGGGTATCCGATTGACGGTATCTTTGCGACGCCTGACGTACCCATCCTGGCCGCCGGGTACTACCCTTTTGACGAACACGTTGCCTCCGATCATCGTGGCCTGTGGATCGACTTTGACTTGCGCAGTCTCCTCGGCGGACACAAACCTACAAAATCCACCCGTGTCCCCCGCCGGCTGGTGATGCATAACAAACGGGTGGTTCAACGATACGTCCAATTGGCGGAGCAGGGTTACATGCGGTACAATATTCCCGGCCGTCTTTCTACCCTGGGATTCGACGTTGCCCGACGGTTGGCGGAGCAGAACTGCAGGAAGTTGTCGATGGGCGGGGCGGAATGGTCTCCGCAAGGCCAATCCATTCGGGATCGGATCACCTTGTGGCGGCTTCTCCTCAAGGGCCGACGTCAGTGCCGGGTGAGCTCCAGGAAGGTTCGCCGCCTGCTGCTCAAGACAAACGAACCCTTGGCCTGGAAGTTGACCACAGCCGAACTTGAGACTCTCCTCACCCAAGACCTTGGTCGGTATAGAGAAGCCAAAAGGGGCCTCACTTCTAAATGGCGGAAGGCCCATGTCACGACTCGCACCCAGAGCATTGCTAAAGTCCGTCATAAAACGGCAAGCTAACGAGAACGATATCACCGCTTGCGGTCCATGAAGCAACGCGAGGAGACCCGTCGGAGACGCAAAGCTCGTTCCTCCGGTTTGTCTGGCGGTCTAAGGGCTATTCAAGTCGAAATGGAGGACAGCTC